AGCATTTCCCTTCTTTTACTCCCCATCATAAATATATTAAACAACCATGGTGACATTACACATCCCTGTCTAAGACCTACTTTTTACCGGGAAGTAGTCTCCCTCTCTTCTACACACCCTAACCTGAGCCTCACTATCCTCATAAAAACTCTTTACAGCATTTAGTAACTTACCACTTATTCCATATACTTGCAATATCTGCCACATTGGTCCCCTATCCACTCTATCATATGCCTTTTCTAAATCCATAATTGCAATAAAATTTCCCTACCTTTATCTAAATACTGTTCACATATATGCTTCAATGTAAACATTTGATCTACACATTCCCTACCCACTCTGAAGCCTCCCTGCTCATCCGCAATCCTACATTCTCTCTTGCCAATAATTCTTTCAATAATAACCCTACCCGTACACTTTTCCTGGTATACTCAGTAAACTTATTCCTCTATAATTTTTACAATCTCTTTTGTCCCCTTTCCCTTTATAGAAAGGGACTATACATGCTCTCCGCCAATCCCTAGGTACCTTCCCCTCTTTCATACATTTATTAAACAAAAATACTAACTACTCCAACATTATATCCTCCCCCTGCTTTTAACAATTCTGTTATGATCCCGTCAGTTCGAGCTGCTTTACCCCCTTTCATTCTACGTAATGCCTCACGTACCTCCACCACACTCACATCCTGCTCTTCTTCACTCTAAAAGATGGTATACCTCCCTGGCCAGTGCATGAAATTACTGCCTCCCTTTCTTCGTCGACATTTAAAAGTTCCTCATAATATTCTCGCCATCTACCCAATACCTCCATCTACTAACTCCCCTACTCTGTTTTTAACTGACAAATCCATTCATTCCCTAGGCTTTCTTAACTTGTTTAACTCACTCAAAAAAATTTTCTTATTTTCATTAAAATTTCTTGACAGTGCCTCTCCCACTCTATCATCTGCTCTCCTTTTGCACTCTCTCACCACTCTCTTCACCTTTCTTTTACTCTCCATATACTCTACTCTTCTTATAACACTTCTGCTTTGTAAAAACCTCTCATAAGCTAACTTTTTTTTTATCACACCCTTTACTTCATCATTCCACTACTCACTTCTCTTTCCTCCTGCACCCACCCTCCTATAACCACAAACTTCTGCCCAACATTCTAATACTTCATTTTTAAAATTATTCCAACCCTCTTCAACCCCCACTGCATATATATATATATATATATATATATATATATATAATATATATATATATATATATATATATATATATATATATATATATATATATATATATGTGTGTGTGTGTTTTGTGTGTATATATATATGTGTATATATTATATATATAATATATATATATATATATATATATATATATATATATATATATATATATATATGCAATAAGATCACAGTAAACAGGTGATATCAAAATATGCAAAAGAACTACTGTGAAAGAATAGTGAAATTCCAAGGGCTTTCGTGACTTCTCACATTATCAAGGAACTATAGATACAATACATCAAAGGAAGTCATATAAAAGGTTGAGACCACACCTCACCATCACATCCCACAACAAAGCAAAGCAACATCTGACGCACGACGACACCCGACTCATAAGAAAGGAACACTGCAGCAGACCTGCTGGCCCCAACTAGGCAGGTCCTTCACGACATACCACTAACAAAATATTTGCCCAACCCAAGTACTCTACCCAAGAATTAAGATTTATTATTTGTCCAATGTATTATTAAATTCTTCCCAGATTTTATTAATTATAAATGATTATTAGGTTCATGATTATTAGATTCATTTATAATTAATAAAATTTGGGAAGAATTTAATAATACATTCGACAAATAATAAATCTTAATTCTTGGGTAGAGTACTTGAGTTGGGCAAATATTTTATTTGTGGTATATCGTGAAGAACCTGCCTAGTTGGGGCCAGCAGCCCTGCTGCAGTGCTCCTTTCTTATGAGTCGGGTGTCGTCGCGCGTCAGGTGTTGCTTTGTTGTGAGATGTGATGGTGAGGTGTGGTTTCGACCTTTTATATGCCTTCCTTTGATGTCTTGTATTTATAGTTCCTCGATAATGTGAGAAGTCACAGAAAGACCTTGGAATTTCACTATTCTTTCACAGTGGTTGTTTTGCGCATGTATATATTTATATATATTATATATATATATATATATATATAATATATATATATATATATATATATATATATATATATATATATATATATATATATATATAGGGAGGTACTACCACTAGAACTGGACTGGGGACCCTCATCTTCAAAGAGAATAAACTTACTTCATGGAAAATTCAAGATTCTCCCCGAAGTTCTGTGAATATTTTATTCTCCTGCCGCCCCCTATATTCTGTTAGAGCTTTATTTATAAACAAAATTTATTAGCAAAGGCACAATGAGAAGAACAACAAAAAGACAGCTCAGGGCCTATATCTCAAATACATCATCCAGCTCTTCGGAGGTGGGCCGTGTATCCAGAATGCTGCAGGCATTTTTCCTCTGGATCGCAGCACTTAGTCTCTGAAAGAAGAAGCTGGCTGCCCTGGTGTCCTTGGTTTCTGTAATGAGTTTGTCACCTAAACATTTCACGAATTTTTGAGCACATTTGCCCCATGCTCCAAGGGTCTCCGACCCTACTTAGACGAAGTTATAACATGGTGGCAGCCCTCTGTATTTGTTGGTCTAATGGGTCTCTCTGAAACTGGCGACCCGGTCCCCTTCCACCTCAGAGCATGGCAAGTGTCAGCTAACGTAGATGCACAGGTGTAGTCCCATGCGATGACTAACGCCACAGTGACAAGAAACCTGGATCTTGCAATGACTGATCTCGCACAGTGACAAGAAACCTGGATCTTGCAATGACTGATCTCGCACAGTGACAAGAAACCTGGATCTTGCAATGACTGATCTCGCACAGTGACAAGAAATCTGGATCTTGCAATGACTGATCTCGCACAGTGACAAGAAACCTGGATCTTGCAATGACTGATTTCACAGTGACAAGAAACCTGCCAGGATCGTCTCGCATGAAAACGTCTCAAACAAGGGCATGGACGTAACACTCAATAACATCCAAGTTAACACCGGCTATAATTCTGGTGATAACACTCGTTATATTACCGCTGATGACATCGAAAATAACACCTGGTTATCACCCGTGATATCGCCGGCTTCACATCATAATTGAAAGCGACACTTGTATGACTTTACACTGCCGATTCCGCTTATGGCTAATCATGTTCATTTTCCAATTAGTTTCTTTATGTGGTGTGTGTGTGTGTACTCACCTAGTTGTACTCACCTAGTTGAGGTTGCGGGGGTCGAGTCCGAGCTCCTGGCCCCGCCTCTTCACTGATCGCTACTAGGTCACTCTCCCTGAGCCGTGAGCTTTATCGTACCTCTGCTTAAAGCTATGTATGGATCCTGCCTCCACTACATCGCTTCCCAAACTATTCCACTTACTGACTACTCTGTGGCTGAAGAAATACTTCCTAACATCCCTGTGATTCATCTGTGTCTTTAGCTTCCAACTGTGTCCCCCTTTTTACTGTGCCAATTTTCTGGAACATCCCGTTTTTGTCCACCTTGTCAATTCCTCTCAGTTTTTGGGATGTCGTTATCATGTCCCCCCTATCTCTCCTGTCCTCCAGTGTCGTCAGGTTGATTTCCCTTAACCTCTCCTCGTAGGACATACCTCTTAGCTCTGGAACTAGTCTTGTTGCAAACCTTTCACTTTCTCTAGTTTCTTTACGTGCTTGGCTAGGTGTGGGTTTCCAAACTGGTGCCGCATACTCCAATATGGGCCTAACGATACGGTGTACAGGGTCCTGACGATTCCTTATTAAGATGTCGGGAATGCTGTTCTGAGTTTGCTAGGCGCCCATATGCTGCAGCAGTTATTTGGTTATGTGGGGCTTCAGGAGATGTTTCTGGTGTTATACTCACCCCAAGATCTTTTTTTCCCTTTAGTGAGGTTTGTAGTCTCTGACCCCCTAGACGTACTCCGTTTGCGGCCTTCTTTGCCCTTCCCCAAACTTCATGACTTTGCACTTGGTGGATTGAACTCCAGGAGCCAATTGCTGGACCAGTTCTGCAGCCTGTCCAGATCCCTTTGTAGTTCTGCCTGGTCTTCGATCGAGTGTATTCTTCTCATCAACTTCACGTCATCTGCAAACAGGGACACCTCAGAGTCTATTCCTTCCGTCATGTCGTTCACAAATACCAGAAACAGCACTGGTCCTAGGACTGACCCCTGCTGGACCCCGCTGGTCACAGGTGCCCACTCTGACACCTCGCCACGTACCATGACTCGCTGCTGTCTTCCTGACAAGTATTTCCCTGATCCATTGTAGTGCCTTCCCTGTTATCCCTGCTTGGTCCTCCAGTTTTTGCACCAATCTCTTGTGTGGAACTGTGTCAAACGCCT